TTCTGTTGTTGTTGGTTCGTCGGTAGTACTGGCAACAGTTGTTGTTGGCAAATCAGTACTACTGAGTTCTGTTGTTGTTGCTTCGTCAGTAGAGCTGGTTTCTGTTGCCGTTGATTCGTCAGTAGCACTGGTTTCTGTCGTCGTTAGTTCGTCGGTGGTATTGGTTTCAGTTGTTCCTGGTTTTTCGGGACTGCTGGTTTCAGTTGTTGAAATAATTGATTCAAGTCTAATACTTCTTTTCTTTTTATAGGTTAATGTGTGTAAACTTACATTTTTGGCATTGGTTGTATTATTTGTATAAGTTTTGTGATTTTTGTTTGAGGTTGTATGTTTTGTTTTGATGGTTATTGTAGAGTTTTCGATAACTCCTCCTTCAGTGTTCCCACTAAACAAACCGTGTTTTGTGGAATTATCAATATGATTTTGAACAAATCCCACGTCTTCTAAGAGTGTTGCAAATTTTTCTGTCATAATACTTGCACCAATCAATACAATCTGAAATACACAAAATGTTTATGTGTGTTTTACTTTGTTCATAATACTTAAGTAAATTTCGTAAGTAATACTTCGCTTACCTGGTCAATACGTTTGATATTGTTTACGTTTATTTTTACAGTCACACGTCTGTTTGTCACAAGTACATCTTTTCTTGCCATTATTTTGCGTTCTCCTTTTTTCATAGTTACAATTAAAACAGTTAGTCGACTGTCTTTGTCAGGTTCCACTTTAACACTGAATTCCATCACTCCTTTATTTTTTGATTCGCATTTAACCACTATATTATCTAATACGCTGATTTCACTTACAGAGTACACTCGTACGTCTAAATTCTTCTCCAGCGTAGTGCATAGTAGTTGTTGTTTTTGGTACGGCAGTGCATTGAAATATGATACTAAGTTTAATGTAAATATGAGTTTCGCAATGTCCATTTTTTTTAGATTACATGTAAGTTTTTTAGTTATTTTGACATTTCAACTGTTTTATTCACATGTGTACCATTTGCTTCTTGAATCGCATAATAAGTATTTTATTTTTCATTATAGCGATAGATAAGGCCTGGAATATCTTAAATATTGTGTACCATAAGTACAGGGTGTTGAGAAATGCACCAGATACCTTTTAGTGAATAATTGTGCATGTTATGTAGTGATTAATGAAGGGAAATTTTTAAGTGCATAATACAAAATTATGTTCATTATTCAAATAACTTTCACATTTAAAAAAATATTTCACTACAAATAAAACAACTGTCTAACAAAACTAGTATCAAAAATAATTTAAAAACTTGTATTAAAACTAGACCTCTGCTAATTTCTCAGTGTACAACGAAAGTTCATTTATTAACAAAAATATGGTTTACATAAGAAAAATACAGATTGCACATCATTTAAATTAACTCTAAACGAAATATCAATTCTTTTAACAAAATTACTGTAATTTTTCTCAAATGTTGCTCCACAAATTATCTTCGGTTATACAATGAATCACGTACAACAAATATGTTTATGGTACAACGAATAACACATATTGCATAACATTATTTCAAAAATGTCATCTGATTTACTGAAAATAATCGGGACTTTTTATCTCTTTCGCATACAACCTTGAGTCCGGTAAAAACTATAAAATGCAAACAGTCATGTACTAGGGCTCGCGATCCGGGTCATGTATGTGGTACCACCAGCAGACGCCAAAAATGTTCTAATCGGACAGAAAAGGAAGCGTGGACGTCTTGTGAAAGCAGGACCCTCAAAGTCTGCGGGTATTGTGGAGTACATACGGGTGAAAGCCAAATCTACCCTGAGGGTCGAGCAGTTGGAGACCCGCCACAATTTGTGGTGAGAGTACCAACTCAACATCTGTCGACCTTCATGAAGGAGCATTTTTGGCCGAAGGGTGTCATGTTCCGGCGTTTCCGAGGACGGCTATCGGACACCCACGTTGCGTTACACGTCGCTTGTCATAGAAATATCAACTGAATGCATTCAGCATAAGACCCATTTTACAAAGAAGCAGTGAAACGGTTTCTGTCAATACGTGTAAATAAATAAATTGTTTTTATCATATTATTATGTATGTTAGTCTATAAGCTATGGGTTTTATGGGACTTTTGTACCCTGAAAATAAAGAAATAAATAAAATAAATTAATAATTCAACAAAAGTTTTTTTATTAACCTATTATGTCCCACTGCTGGGCAAAGGTTAATAAAAGTTATTTTATTTATTTTTTATTATTTTCTGCTTTTTTATTTTAAGCTTTGGAGCTGATTTTCTTGTAAGCAATTCATAATACTGGAACTAAATCCAACCTTTACTCGCAAATATAAAAAAAATACTAATATTTTCAACTATTAGACTTTGTTGCAATGTTTGTGTGCAATTTTGATTTTTTTTTTGTTGTTCAAATTGTTTTGGAGAAATTGTACAATTAGACCACTATGTCATATAAAACGGTGTTTCATTCCGATAGACTGATGTACCTTTTATTGAAATAGGTGTGTTTTTCTCAGACGTTTGTTGTATACCAGAAATATAAAATATGTATTTAGATGTATGATATGCATTGCCATAAAATGTTATGCATTAATTTTAGTACATTATGCTAAATTAATTTTCTTTTAATGTACATATTTTGTTTGTACTTTTGTTGGGGAAGTAATATATTTGGTTGTGTAAAAACTTGCTTTTTTGGTGAGCGGTTATATATTACCCATTAATAAGTTAAGTAGACATTTTTGATCTGTCTAAATACCAATTTAAGAGGGCAGTTACTGAAGCGTTGGGCATGATTTTTTTGTTAATTGTACTTAGTAATGTTATTAAGTTTGTTTGTTTCTTAAATTTATTTTCTTTGTCAATTGTACTTTAAAAAAAAATACAGTAGCGATAATACTTCATTTGAAAATTTATATTTTTGTCATTGACTTACAATTATATGGATGTCGGGTCCGCGCTAAAAAGTGTCCGAACTTATAGAGCGTTAAAATCGTATACAGAGCGTCATTCACGCTTTAGTCTTCGTTTGTTCGACTGACAGCGAAGCAAGCAAAATTAGACAGTACTGCGATGACATTACAATTTAAATTCAACGTTTTAGCTTTATCATATTACTGTACAAGTCACTACGTTTAAATAGGTTGACTTGGGACATTTTTTTCGTGGTTTTTGTATTAGACCCGTCGTCCATTTATTTGTAAGTCAATGATTTTTGTAGTAATCTGTGGATGATGTGGTTGATTGTACAATAAGCTAAACCGATATTCTTATTCTCTATAACTCACCATGTACAATCGTTTGTCATTCCTCAATAAATAAAATAAAAATAAAGTTAATCCATATAAACTGTTATATGTATAGAGGCGACTTTTAAATTTTATCTCAGTTGGGGCTCTTAATTAGAGACCAGCAATCCGTAGCCGTACGGTTACCATCCTGGTCTGACACAGAGAGGTTGGCGGGTTCGATTCCTGGGCAGGTAGAAATATTTGTATGGCCTACATTTATTTCTCTACTGAGTTTTGTTGTAATTTGTGGTTGTGTACACATCACATACCGTCGTTTTGTAATTTCAAAAATTTAATAAACACCGCAAAACATAATTCGCAAACACAGCTTACCTTTATGTAATTACTGCTTTTTTCTCTCGTAGACATGAAAGACTAAATAAAACATTTCCAACTTTATGTGTACTTAATCTATTTCAAAGACTTTTTATAATTAAGAAAACTTAAATAAACAGAGGTTTCAAACACTACACTTGCGGTTTTTTTTTAGAAAATTATCGGGTCATTGTTCAATTATAATGTTTTACTGTTGCCTGAAGAAAAAGGCTTGCGATCTTTACTTCGTCGTTTACGCTTTTTTGGAATTCCAAGAAATAAGCGCAAATTGTGGTTACCAATCATATCCGCAAATTACAGCCTGTATTTGTAGTGCATTATCTATTTATGATAAAATATAATTGAAAGGAAGCAATCACTCCTATGTAGTCTGTCCGTATACAGCCGAGTGTTGATCTTATCTACTTATCACTTCAAGGACTTCGAATTAGTTGATATGAAGTTACAGTTGTTATTGAGTTGAATGAAATTACAAGCACTGTACGAGCTGAACTCTATTACTTTTTAGTAGGTACTAGTCGAATCTCACGGATGTGAAATTGTCACACAGTTAATTTATTTCATTGTAAGGCTGCATTTTCACCAGAGATATGCGAGGTAGCTGAGCGGAGTGCGCGGAAGGAATATACCAAAAATAATATTACTTCATTTTCATAGCCTCGTTTAATTACATGTTATTATATACATATATATTACAACATTTTCATACAAAAAAGCGAGAGATGTGTGCGAGGGATACGAGAGAGGAATCTGTGCGAGGTACGTAAGCGAGGAATGTGTGCAAAACGGTGTATGGAACTAGAGCTGCTACTGGTCAACAGTTGCTGTTTGTTAGCGACAGACGTGCAGTATACCACCCACTCGCGTATAGCTGAAAAGAGTCCTCTACTCATCCTCCCACCGCTCAGCTAAACACCGTTTCACAGCTTCGCTGTACATCCTGCCACCGCCTAACTACCTCGCACAGTTTTGGTGGAACCATCACACCGTTTCACAGCTTCGGTACACATCCTGCCCCCGCCC